TATATATATATGTATATTATATACATATAACCTATCTGTGTGTATGCCTCTATCTCTATATATATATATATGTGTGTGTATATATATATATACATACACAAAAACATATATACACACATTCGCACACATGTACTGTCTACCGGGCCAGTGCAGCTACCTAAAAAGCAGACACTAAGAACAAATATCTCTGGCCTCACTATTTTGGGGTGTAGGGTTAGGGTCAAAGTAAGGACAAACCTCCGGATTACTGGCAGCCCTAAACCGTATAGCAAGACTCAATGCCCGCAACCCTCAACTAAAAAAAACAAGCAGCCTATTCCAAAAATCATCTTCTTTGAGCAGTCAGACTAACCTTCTTCCTTCACTGTAGACCGGAACACCTGATCAGAGAATCTCAATGTCAGCCAGGTTGCACAAACAAACGACCCGCCTGGAAACCCGTCAAATCCTCAAGCCTCAAACACAACATCCAAAAACCCTAAACCTTAAACCCCTAGATCCCTAAACCCTAGAACCCTAAAGCCCTAAAGTGCTCTAAAACCTTAAACCCTAGAATCGGGCCTGGAGGCCCAAATAATAAGTCCAGTTCCACTCGGCGAAGGGGTGTTTCGAGCAGCCGCAGCAAAGCCCTTCGAATTGCGGCCATATGGGTTCTATAGGTTCTATTTGGGTTCCATAAGGGCCACGAGGGTCCTATAAGGGTTCACGAGAGTTCTATAAGGCTTCTGTGAGGATAAAAGCAGTGTTTGGTTTGGTCTTAAGGTTTTTTAACAAAGTTAACGAAAATCTCCGCACAGTAATGCTAGGGGACGGCCCTGGACATGTAAAGGGGTTTGGTTAGCGCCAGAGTGCCGTGAATTCCCTAAACCCTACGCCAGAGACGCTCCTGAAATTGACCTTTGGTACGCAGGCCCTGGGTCTACTAGGTGTTCTTTCGCTCTTTGTGTTCCGCGCTGGGTTCAATTTTGCTAGAAAGCTACTAGGTTTAGGTCGTCCTAATGGGTCATGACCCTAACCGCGAAACCCTGTCCTAGATAAGCCATCCAAAAAGTTTACACATTGAAGGACGTTGCAGGGCGAGGGCGATAAGTGTTCAAAGCGAGGGTAAGAAGCCCATTTACCGGTGCCGTGTGTAGACTATGGGGGGTCTGGTTCAGTATTACTTAGTCTGAAAGTGTACTTTCAGTCCCTACAGAACTATGCTGTCATATTTCCCGAAGACCTGGGGTGACGGGGCTCAGGGGTTTAGGGTTTATAGGCTTAGGGTTATGGGTGGTAGGGTTTAGGGTGACAGGGCTCCGGGGTTTGGGGTTTATAGGGTTTGGGGCATGCTGAACTGCATGGCCGGCCACAGGCTCTGAAGAACATGTTGTTAAACCCTGGCCTTTAAAGCCTACCTATAATGTCCGCTATAGTTCCGTTTTTGGGGGTGTAAGCAGTCTTATAGTTAGGATCCTAAATTTTGAGGTAGCCCCCAAAAAGGAACTACAATGAAGACTAAAGACTGACACCCATAAACATGGGGTTTAGGGCTTAGGGTGTAGGTTTAGGGTTTTGGGCCTAGGGTTTAGATCCTAAACGCCGCAAGCCTTGAAGTGTGAACCAGGGACTTGAGGACTGTATACTGGACTTCAGCAACGCTGGGGCTCTCTTTTCCCCTAAGACCTATAAGACTTTAAGTACCGAATAATCATCAACTCTCCAAACTACTCGCCTACAAAACTTCTATCCTACACAGCAGCATCTGGTCATTTTAGATTGTATGGACCGGACCCGTAGGGTCAGACCCCTACACACCCTAAGCCCCCCAAATTCGAACCCCCTGAAACCCGAAAAGCCAGCAAACCCAGAGTTCTGGTACCCTAAACCCTAAACCCCTAAACTCCTAAACCCTAAACGCTAAACCCCTAAACTTCTAAAGCCCTAAACCGACCTTTGCAGCAGCCGATCCCCAGGTGGATCGGCAAGCAACACCAGCCTGGATGGAAAGCTGGCAGTTGTTGGGGTTTGGGGCTTTGGGGGTTTAGGGTTTAGGGCTTGGAGTTTAGGGTTTTGGGATATTTTTCATGGGTCTAGTAAGGTTTGGGGTTTCGGGAGTCGGGTATCGAATATACTTGCTACCTACAGTCTTCATTGCAAAGTCTTGTGTTGGCCTTTGCCCACATCATGAAGTCCTCCAAAGCTTTGCTTGGTTTCCGGAGGCCCTATTGTACACTCGCAAACGTAGGAAGAAGATGGCTTCGCTTTGCAGCTAAGCTTTATCATGTGCGGACGATAGCTGACAAATGGTCCCAACGCATAAACCCAAACCTTACGGACTGTCAAATTGATGTAGGAATGTAGGGGCCAGGGGCCTTAACAATTAGAATAAGGTTTTGGGATATATAATAAACTCCCATTCGAATAAGGAACCTCCAAAGTACTACTGGTAATTACTTAGGCTTCTATATTACTTGTCGAGGCTCCTGTCGGATCTGATCATACTGAAATCTCGTCTGCAAACACCTCACGTGTCGTCCAACGGACATGATGATTTAATGATGCTTCTGCAACCCCTACGCCCTGAAGCAAATCCTGGTCCCGGGTTTCGCAGCTCGGGAGTTCATGCACTCATGCCGGCAATGGTTGCCGGTGTCTCTTCCGGCACTGCACCGACAACCACCAAAATCAGAAGATCGAGTTTGAGCTCTGGATCACTAAGCCGGCAAGGTGAGGGTCTGAGATTTATGGCCTGGGTGCCCAAGAAGCGAACTTATCCAAAGAGGCCATGCGGCCGCAGGTGCATCCAGCTGAACAGTCTGCGACATCAAAGCCTGGGTGGCGGGAGCTTTCCGAAATCAAACTCCACTTATAGTCAGCATGGTTGCTGTGGCAGCCGGAAGCGTAGAGCAACAGAGTCTGCAACAGTATCCGATTCCTTTTTAACTAGGAGCTTGCGGTAGCAAGTAAAACAAAGCGAGTGGCAAATGCCGACAGTAGCACTACTCGTCGTCGTCGTCGTGGTCGTGGTCGTGGTCGTGGTCGTGGTCGTGGTCGTCGTCGTCGTCGTCCTAGTAGCAGTAGCAGTAGCAGTAGCAGTAGCAGTAGCAGTAGCAGTAGCAGTAGCAGTAGCAGTAGCAGTAATTAGCAGTAGCAGTAGCAGTAGCAGCAGTTACAATAGTAGAATTAGTAGCAGAAGTAGCAGCAGGACGAGTAGCAACAGTGTCGCAATCGTAAAATTCAACCGCTCAGTCGTTCGCGCGTCCTGAGGATCTCCAGTCGCTTCAACTGCACAGGCTGCGCCAGCATAACCCGGAGGCCTTAGGGGGCTGGAGGAAGCTCTGCAGCATCTGAGACGCACTTGCAAGAATGGCATAGTTAGTCGTGTTCTCAGACCCCCAAGCTTCGCACGTTGTCGCAGCAGAGGGGATTGGCACAAGGCCATGTAGCCTCAGTGTCATGGGAGGATCGCCAGAACAAGGCTCGGACACGCATCTGCTGCTTGGATGCAACAGCTTGCTCTCGGTCTTGCCGGTCACCGCCTCGGTCCCGTTACGGTCTGCAGGATGCCGCAAAGCAAAAAATCGGTCTGCGCGGTGCTGCGTGACAAAGCCACGTGCCAAGCTTGCGCCGGAAAGATCTGAGAGGTAAGGCACCCACCTGCAGTGCGAGCTTATCACCGTCTTCCAGGGGCTTTCCAGCTTCCTTGCCAGCCTCAGATCCAGAGCACGAGAGCTGCAATCGATGCGACGAGTTCAAGGCCGCTTCTGCCTGTCCGGCAGTCCGGTACGCATTTTTATATTATGTGCATATGTATATACATATGTGTAAAACAACAGAAGAAAATCAGACAAGAATACAAGGGAATGACATGTACATCTATCTATCTATCTATCTATCTATCTGTCTACCTGCCTCAACCTGCCTACCTGCCTACCTGCCTACCTACCGATCTACCGATCTATCTATCTATCGATCTATCTACCTACCTACCTACCTATGTCGATCTAAAATACCCCATGTGCCAAGCCGCAACGTTCATCGTCAGGGATTGCCACGCACCCATGTCGTTCCAACGTGCTCGCACCACGTTTCCTTCCACGTCGATGTGGCGATGGGTTGAGCCCTTCAGATATCCTTGGCGAGACTGATGGCACGGAAACGATCCCGAAAACTGCGAAACCCTAGCGTCTACACGAATACGACTTATCTTGCTCCTGCTCCAGCTCTTGCTCCTGTTCTTGCTCTTGCTCCTGCCGTCGCTGCTGATCTTGCTCTTGCTCTTGCTCCGGCTCTTGCTTCTGCTCCTGCTCTTTCTCCTGTTCTCGCTGTTGCTTTTGCTCTTGATCTTGCTCCTGGAAGTGCTCCTGCTCTTTCTGCTGCTCCTGGCTCCTGATATGACACCTGCTCTTGCTACTGCTCTTGCTCTTACTCCGGCTTTTGCTGTTTCTCTTCCTCCTAAGCCAAATCAGGTCGTAAAAAGGTGGGCGTGTTTTCAGGAGAGTTGTCCGGCAAAGTGTTGTTACTGTTAGGGCGTGCTTAACGAAAGGGGGGAATGGATTACAGAGTTTCGGAAATCGGACGCGGTGGTCCCAAAACTGCTGCACCCCCCGTCTCAAAAGGAGCGTCCCACGGAGCCCGCGGTGGCGAGCTGTGGTCCATCCTTCCTGGCAGGCCGCCACTTTGCCGCCACCACCACTCCAGCACCGGAAACCCGGAAGTCCAGGTGGAGCTTCGCCCCTGGCCCGCTTGGAAGGCTCTGATTCTTTCAAGAAAACCCATGAAAACCCTAGGCGGATATAGTTTCGGCCTTATGGGATGTCATGTCATGGGCACCTGAAGCCCCAAGATAAGATCCGGCAAGGAAGCGATGGGCAAAGGATGTATGCTTGGGATTCTTTGTTTGTGTAGGCAACCGCCACGGAGCCTGCTCCAACCAGAAGCTCAGCACCAATGCTCACAGCACCAGGGCCGGGTTCGATGCGAAGACCATTCGTCCTTCGTCGCTTTGGACTTTCGGGCTTCGCGCCATTTCAAACTAGAGTTTCCTTGTTTTGGGGGGATCTTCTGTACGGACCTGATTGCTCCGTGAAGGGGCCCCTTCTTGAATCAAGAGCCTCGCAGGTCGTGGTCTTGTGTGGGGGTGCTGCGGGTCTTCCGCTGCTAACTCCATATATATATATATGTATATATATATATGTATATATAGGGGTTCAGAAGAAGCTATGGGAACCTGAGTTCTGCGGTGTTTTCTAAGCTCGCCAGTGTTTCGAATTCCCCACATCCTTGCACTCCAAGCATCACAGTGGCCCTTTGCCCTGCAAACCTCCAGCACTTCATGTCATTCTGCAGATTGGCTCCTGGCGCCGCCAAAAAAGGCAGAAGTTCTATATGACGCTTCGCGCCAATGAGGGGCCTATCGGGTTTTGGGTAAATGGGTTCCTTATTCCACCGGAAGCTAAGCATCAATGCTTCAGGGAGCCACCAAACGCCAGCGACAACGATAGAAGGCCTTTGAGAGCGCAGGTCACAGCCGCCCATATCCCCTCCCCGGACCCCTACATGGCAGTCCGTAGTCGTTGTCCGTCCTTGGTCCGTGATGCTAGGCAAGGGTCAGTGATCCAATGCATTCACGTGCCAATTGTTCCAGATTTTTGCATGAGCCCACCAGGCATAACAGCAACCAAGGTTGACATCCTCAACCCCCGCATTCTAAACCATGTCGAGCCGTAACTAAAACCCACAAGCCCTACAAAACTAGAATCTACAAGCCCTGCAACAAAAACACACCCCAAGCAAACCTTATCCTTCATCCCTTAAACACGAAGCCCTTGCTTCTTAAGCCCTACACCCTTCAAACCTAAGCCTATGTCCCCCAAAACAGCCCTACAACCTAAATCTCTCAGAAGCCCGGCATCGGAGGCCGCCAGAAGCTTGGCAGCAGCGGTGAGGCCAGGAGCTCCAGGCCCCCCAAGGCGAGGCTACAAAGGCAACCGCGAGACACTTCGATGCCTGTGCTTCGGGTTTAGGGTTTTTTTGCTTTGGTCTAGGGTCTCGACCGGGGTTTTGGGCTTAGGGATTATAGGGTGTTCGGATTGAAGATGGCTTTTCAAGAGAACGGGTCCAGATTGAAATGTCGCTTGGTTTACAGACGCGCCTACACTTCGGGAAACGCCCGCCCGCACACTCCCACCTGAGGTTTGCAATCCCTCACGCAGCCACAACAAACCTACCTGCTCCAGTTTTCGTCTAATCGAGTTCATGGGATCAGGAAGCTGGCGAAAAACTGCTGCTGCCAAAGGCACGCGCAGTGAGTGCTCCGGCTGTGACTGTGACCTTGGGCAATTTCGGCTTTCGAGGCTTGGCTTGGTGGTCAAAGCAACCCTGAATTGCGCACCGAAGTCTCTTCGTAACTTCCCTCGCCCCAAAAACCGAAATCTCGAAACCCACAAGAATGTCAGCAATGGACCTTAAACTTCAACCCCGCCCCCACAACCCTAAAGCCTTATAAACCTGGACCTATATAAACCCTTACCCCTGCAACCCTACGGCCCTACAGGGGCCCTAGATCCTCGAAGATGAGGGCGGTTTAAAGTCAAGTTGCCAGTTCTGGAGACTGATCCACTGCCGGCTCTGGGCCAGTGATGGCCACTGGCACCTCCTCCTCCAAGCGCAGCGGACTCCAAAGCCCAATGTATGGAATCATCTTCAGTATGAAGTTGTAGCTCAGCCCTAAATCCTCGATAACAGCGGCCTAAAGCCTAAACTTCTCCAAACCCCAAACTGCTAACCTTGCATCCAAAGCACCCTGCCGCACCCCGAAACAGAGCTGTGCTCTTTGCCCTCTAGTAGCATCGGGGGGTTCACAATGTGAGTCGGATACGCTGCTCTAGAGCCAGGTGCGTTTTGAATCTTTTTGGTGTCGGCGGGTGTTTTCAGTGGAGGTCCCTTCGAGGATCCCTCATCTAGTTCAACTCTGCCTGTCTTGGCGCTATAGGGCATAAATCTCATTGCATCGCGAGCCTGCCCCTTCCCAGAGTTCCGGCCAACTCCTCTACGAGCGCTCCTTGACCTGTACATGACATAGATAGATAGATAGATATAACCTAAGAGTCTAGGACTTGCGACTCCCACTGAGTCCCAAGCCCACAACTCCTTAAAGCTGCTACTTGTGAGGCCGAAAACCAAGTCCTTGTGGGGAGGGTGGAGGAGCCATTGCTCCCAAGCGACTTCGTCGCCAGCTTCGAAACATCCTCCGGCTGCTCCTGAGCACACAAAAAATTGCTTTCAATGGTTGACTAGGCGGGTCAGCCCGAAACCCCAATCCCCTAAATCCTAAACCCCAAACCCCTAAACCCAGCCTTTAGGCTTTGTAAGCTTTGGCTGTTGGATTCTTCCTGCGCTCGAGAACCTAGACTTCAAACTTTCGAGACATGCGCAGGGCCATGAGTCCATGAGTAGTCCGTCGCCCTACTTGTAGAACGGATTGGCCCTCGTCATGATATAATATAACAAATGAAGTATATAATCAGTGTGTATATATATATATACATATACAATTATAGTCTTTATTTGTTATACTATAGGTTCTGTACCTGTGACACGACTTGGAAGCCCAAGTTGGCTGCCAAGTGTCGCATGCAGGCGGACACAAGCAGGTGCACTTCACAACGTGGCCCCTTGGTAAGGCAGCGGGGTTATGTCATGATCATAATGTGCGAATCGCAGACAACCGCATCCAGGCACCAACGAAATGCAACAAAAGCGGCTGCATTGAGCTGAGGCAATGGAATCAGAATGTTCTCCGCTTGATGCGGGCCCGTGCTCAAGCCTCAACCATGAACATCCATGGTATGTGCAAACTAAAGAACTGCACCCCTGTTCGGAAGTCCCAGATCAGATCAGGTGAGCCCAGCTGATAAACCAGTGCTACATGAACCTGTAGCTTCGGGATGCTACAGACTTTTGTAGGCATTGTGCATGGTGACCTCCTCCTTCGGGAAACATCTTTTTCCTTGTGCTTTGGTGTGGCAATCCAGAAGGAAAGCCCCATGACTCGTTCACACTCTTCCTCCGACCTTAACCCCCCCGAAGACTACACCAACAAACGAATCTAGCAAAGAGTTCAGAAATGTGAGGGCAGCGATGATTGAATATCTCAACTCAACCTGCGACTCACTCAGAGCTCGGATCCAACATAGGGCTTAAGGGTGGAGTGTACGGTCGAAGTTCAGGCTCCCGAATGCCGGGTTTCAGGCATGTTGAGGCTACTCAACGCGAAGTGACGCGACCGGCCTGGCAACTTGCCCGACTCTGTGACCAGGCCGTTCTGGGATATCTGCCATGAGAACTCCAGATGCTCCAGTGTCAGGAAATCGTAGCCTCAAAAGCGGTAACACACGCAGCCAACTGGACTCAGCCTCATCCGGACTCATCCGGCAAAGAACCATCGCAAGTGACAGAACTACCTCCTGCCTCACGAAGAATCTCTGCAGACAAGTGGCGATTTCGAACTTCGATGATGCCCGTGGCCAAATCCACAGCTCGGTAGGTAACGAACCTGGGTTCGTTTGAAACACTGTCTGAAATTGCTTCGACAGAATGTTCGTCTCTTCGACATTGTGAAAACATTGGAGTGTACCCGCCAAAAAGTCTTGCCCAACAGCAGTCTGGATTCTGCATGACCTTCTTTGCCTCAAAGAGGTGCGGATTGGGCTTCCGATCCGGCTGAACGAGGCCATTGATGCAGAAGTTCAAATCGGTCGGGGTGTCTTTGCCCCCGAAATCCGAACCAAAGGCCCAAATCTTCTTGCCGTTCTTCTGGGTCTCCAGGCCTTGATCGACCCAGTCCCATATGAAGCCGCCCTGTAGGACCTCACGCAATGCTGCTGTTTTACGGGCTCTTGATGTCGTCTCCCACGTCCCTCATAACTAGACTCGCGCGATGCGTGCAAACCAAGAACACCCATCCTACTATTACGCTTGGCAACTGGAGCCATTGAAGTCTGCGACTAAGTGACGCCATACTTGTAGATGACATCCCAGTACTCTTTGAAGGCTCCCAGAGAGTTACCCATGGCATGGGCATACTCAACCATAATGAGAGGTCGCGCGTGGACATCGCCCTCGTAAAGCTCCCCATACTTTTCCAGCTTCTTGTGGCTGGGGTACATGGGACAATAAATGTCGGTATTCGCGTCCTGGACAAGACAAGATAAACATCACGGAGTGAAGAGGGATATGGACAAGCAGGCAACATGGATGCCAGTTGCAGTCTCGGCTGCCATTTTCTCAATGTTGTCCGTGTTCCAGTCTGGATCAGTTCTCCATCTTGCATGCTCGTACTGGACAGGCCGCGTCGGATCTCGCCGCTTCAGCCACCTAGGCAAAGCATGGCAAAGCATTGCCTGTGTTCGCGAATTGACGGCAGTTCTGATCTGTATACTCATGAATGGCAGAATCGATGCACGTGTGCTGTCACACGCAGCAAACTGATGCACCTGCAGTTTTCAGCAGCTTTGGACCAACACACCACGTTAAGACACGAGGCAAAAAAAACACCATCCAAAAACAAGGCGCATGTAGGTCCGGTGATGATTGATTCCTTGTCACAGGACGGGGTTTTTACTTCGGGTTGAAAGTCGGATGTCAAGGTTCATGAAGCTACTGCCAAAACCAATCTGCGATGCTGGTTTGGGGAACTTGCGTGGGTTGATGCTGCTGAGCTGTGGTGGCGAGCACTCCTACAGTGCGTTGGAATTTCGGTTTGCCAAACCAGGACCAAACCCAGCGGAGGTGCCATTGCCGGCTTCGTTGCCCAAAGACCAGATGATGATGCTCGGGAAGTTCTTGTCGCGTTCCTGAGGATTGGGATGGCTCCGTGTGACACTGCGAAAATCTGGAGACTTCGCGCCCATGTGTTCAGTCATCTACTGTGGCACAGGCAAAATGTCCAGTACTAAGCTCTGATCCACGTAGCGCCGAACTCTAGCCATGTGGGCCACATCCCACTCCTCCTCGCAGGATAAGTTTTATTCTGTTATATTACATTACACTATAACGTTATAACATTGTACTAAGTTAGATTAACATAATATAGTATAATGCAATAAAGATCAAGATAACACAAGACCATACAGTATAATATACTACATTACAATATAATCATGCGATATAGTATATTGGCCATATTATATAATCTTAAACTGAATTCTGATAGATTAGATTCGATTAGGTTAGACTGCATTTCATTGTAGTTTATTTCGTTTTGTGGTACGACACTACATTGTATTACGATTGCATTACATTGCATTTAAAAAATCTATGTATGTATATATATATATTTATTTATACAGAAAGCGTCGCACTGCAGGC